GAATCTTTTGTAATTAAAAAAACCTCTGTATCTCTGATATGTTAGATTTTTAAATGACAAATGTAAATTGTGGAACCTATATTTGGTTTTTGTATTTTGTTTTAAGTAAGATTAAGTATATTACCCTATCTACGATTAGTATACTAATATGGACTTACAGAGGTAGGAGAGGACCCAGAGATCAGAAACATACGGAAGAATAAACTAAGGCACAGTGAAGTAAATTGCCCCAAACAGCCTTCAGGAAACTCTGAACTTTATTTGGAATGTTAAAGACATGAATTATGTGACTATTCATAAATATTTCTTAATCTTTTAAAAAGGGGATCCTTTAAGAAACTTCAAAATAAATGAATGGAATAAAAAATTAATAATCCCCTCTGGGTGTTAAATGCCAATGACCACAAGTGTTGCCCAGAGGTGGTGGTCACTCTCCCTGTTGTCCAGGCTTATTTTAGCCCAAGTTCTCTCTTGTGATCCTGTTCTCTTCTCTTTTCTTGTCTTTCTCAATAAACCTACTGGTCAGTGCAATTCAATTCCTATCTTTAAACCAATGTGCTTCTGGTCATCCACTCCCCAGTCTATCACTTTCTTCACCTGATTCCCTCAAGCAAAATCTGATTTCTCTTCTTTTGTTAGATCATCTATACTATTATATCATCTCTGGACTGATTACTCTCAAATTTGTATCTCTGACTCTCATCTTTCCCCTGAACCCCAGACTTGTATGCGTAATTCCTTAAGTCAGAGCTCCACCGGGATGTCTAACAGGCATATGAAATGGATCATGATCAATATGACCTAATGTTCTTGCCAAACCTACTCTTCCTCCAGGGGTCCCCATTTCTATAAATGGCATCACTCTTCAACAATTCATTCAGAACGTAACTTTGATCTTTCCCTGATCTCTTTCTCCTGTACCCCATACCCAGTCTATCAGGAAACCCCAAAGAGGCTCAGCCTTCTCTGTATAACCCAAATCCACCTGTAGTAGAGAATAACCTTTGTTTTGTTGGAGGTTTACAGGGACACCATGACCTAGCCCACGGGGTTGCCTGCAAGAACAAAGAATGCCTGAAGCAAGAAGATTGCAACAATCAACCATACCTCCTCTCTTATTTTCCCTCCCCCTCCCTTATTTTTCATATCAAAGGAGCCTGCATTCTGACTAGAGAGGATGGTTCTCCAAGACATTAGTCTGCCATCCTCTCGGTCTGCCGGCTTTCCAGATAAAGCCGCTATTCCTTGCCTCAGCACCTTGTCTCCCGATTTATTGGCCTGTCATGCGACCAGCAGAACGAGTTTGGACTCGGCAACACATCCAGTTCTCACTCCTTCCCCAGCTACCACCTGATACCTGGAACCCTACAAAAGCCCGCTGCCTGGTTTCCTTGTTTACCTGTTTTCCATCCAACCTCTTTTCCACAATAGTGGACTCAAAAAGCTTTATAAAACTTAAATCATCTCATGTCACTCCCCTGAGCAAAACATTCCAGTAATTTCCTGTCAGATTTGCAGTGAAACCCGGAGCCCTGGAGTTGGCGTACACGTGCTGTGGAATCTGGCCCTAGCTGTGTTTTAGACCTCTTCCGACGTCTCTTTCCCTTCCTCCCTTCACTCTGTCCAGCCACGCTGCTTTCTGTAGGAGCACACTCATGGGTTAATAAGCTGTAGGGCTGCAATGCAGAAAACTGCTGCTCACATGCCTTGCTTATCTTAGGTGTGGGTTGCTAGCTGCAGGGCTGCTTCTGCTTCTTGGAAAACCATTACCTTTTGCCCTTGCTGAAAACAGCAGAGCATTCTTCACTTATCTACTTAGATCTTGATCTTCGTGGGGTCTTTGTGCCTGCCTGGTTTCCATTATCGATTGTATACTCCTTAGACATTGTAAACTTCTCCCTAAATGTATAGATTAAGATTAATGTTTCTGTTTTTCACAAGATTAATGTTTCTGTTTTTCGCAGAACTGCTGAGCTGCACCTGCACGTACACCATGCCCCTTACACATTCCTATGACTTGTTTTACCTTAATCCTTCGTCTGACTGTTCTCAATAAATACAAGAGTTTTGGAGGGGCTCAGGGGGTTGGAGTTGGTCTCTGGCTCCCTCTCACTCTCTTGACTTGTTAGAGTAATTCATTCTTCCGCGGTGGGTCTTTGCAGGACAAAGCCCATAGCGTTTGTTGCTAGACCTTCAGCACAACAACCAACTCTCTGCCTCAGGCCCCTCCTTGTCTCTTGCCTTGGACCATCTTTCCTTGCTTTTCCTATGCCTCACCCAAACTTCTGCAGATCATTGTTTCAAGTTTCCTTTTCTAAGACACCTTCCCTGAACACACTGCTTGTGTACAGCAGCACTGAGGCACACTCAATTGCCTTGGCTTGACTTCTTTTCCTTCAGGGCATTTTTCACCATCTGACATAATATATATTTGTCTCCCACCTTAGAATGTAGTCTCAAGAGGGCAAAGGAAGGACTTTGTCTACGTTGCCCACTGCTGAGTCACCAGAGCTCAAGTTGGTTCAGAGAAGCTCTATAAATGGTCATTGAACTAAGAAATGAATTCATCTACCCAACTTCTACACCAAATCCAAGTCTATGCTCTTTTTGTTCTCTATCACTCTTTCTTTCCCGCAGACTCCTATCTGGTAATTAAGGAAGCATCCTTGCCTTTTCCTGGCATCACTGACCCCTATTCTCAAAGTTGCCAAAGGGAGATATATAGAAGAAATAGCTGTTCACTGGAGTGCATCTCTAGGGAAGGCAACAGTGAGGCTGGCCACGCAGAAGCAGAGCCAGGCTCCCCTGACCCCGACCACCACCCGACTGCCTCCAGTAGTGGTCATCTATCAGCCATTCTCTACTCCTTTATCTTGCTCTTGAATCATAGGATTCAATATGGTGACCATATGCCCTGTCCTGGAGGATGAATCACAGCACTCCTGCTCCTCTTGGCCATATACAAGTCCTCATCTTTTACCATATTCCAAAATCTAAAAGGCTTTAGTGGAGAGGGCATAGCTCAGTGGTAGAGTGCGTGCTTAGCATGCATGGGCTGCTGGGCTCAATCCCCAGCACCTCCATATAAATAAATAAACAAGCAAACAAACCTAGTTACTCCCTCAACCACCAAGTAAAAGTCTTCAAAAAAAACCCAAATCTAAAAGGCTCTAAAAGTCTAAAAATGTTCCCCCAAGTTTGAGACTAACTCATTTGGCAGCAAAATTGGATAGAGCCTTGGTGTCAGGATCTTTTTGGTCCTTATCCCCCATTTTGTGAGTATTCATTCATTATTGCAGCAGACATTAATGTGTTTTACTACAGG